GGTCGGGCAGCGCCGCTCCTCTGCGGGAGCTGGGCACGCGGCCGGGAGGCACAGGCTGTGCGAGGCACCCAGCGTGTTGCTGCTATTTCCACCGAAATTCCTGTTACCAACCCGCACCAGGCTCTGTGCCCCTGTCACACCATTAAAATCGAGCCCCTCCAGCACGTGACGGCAGTATGGGGGAAGTGTGAGTGTTGGCTCCCTCGTGGTGGTGATTTCTTTCTTACTGGGGTGAGGAGGTGACATCCCCGGCTGTCCCCGGGTGCTGTCTTTGACTAGCTTCTGGATGGGACAGGAGGAGGTTTTTTTTATGTTCTGAGAAAGCCAGCTGTGTTGGGGGGGTCAGGCTGGTGACTAGATGGCTCCTGTTGGTTGTAATGTTGGCTGTTTTCTTGCGGAGCAGCTTTGATCTCCTGGCTACCTGGCTGGTGTTGGTGGCAGGATATCTAGGGCCTGGTTCACGGTCGTTTCCTGCAGCTGATACTCGATCATACAAAAAGCCTTTCTGGGAGCTATGCCTGTGTGAATCACACCAGTTTTTCTGTGGCTGGACGTCACACAGAAGCTGGTGGGATGGAGTTGATTGCTATCCAGCACTTGACAGGAGATGGCAGGAGCTGTGTTATCCTTCTGACCATGGGCTGACTGGACTCCCAGCTCCAGGCAGTTTGTGGAGAGGCTCAGGAGTGTTCCCCAGCTCACCTGCTGTCCTCTTCACCAGGCTTGTGGTTGGTGCTGGAGGACAAGGTGAAGGGCAGGAGCAATTCCAGTGTTGCATCTGCCTTTGGTGGTCCCCTTTCCCCCTACAGATCGAAGAGCTTCTGAAGGAGGTGACATTGAAGGAGACAAAGAAGAAGAAGATTGATGCTTTCCTCCATGACATTAACAGCCTGCTCAGCGCCATCCCAGCGACCCCAGAAACAGAAGTACGTTCCAGAGGGATGGAGGAGGTGGCAACACCCCTGTATGTTGCTGTGCAAGCAGAGGTCCTCATGGACTCTCTCCCTTAGGGACTGAAAAAGTATTACTTTGCTTTATCCTGGAGGGGAGAGGGGGACACTCTGTCCTTAAGGCCTGGGTGCGGACACCTGCAGCTGTGTGGGGAGAGGGGTCCTGGTCCCTGCACATCTGCTGTTGGTGATGCTTAGAGCGTTTTGTGTGTCCTGTCTGTTCCCAGCTCACCGACCAGGCCTGGCTCCCCAAGGGAGTGAAGGTGCCATTTCTGCAGGTGCCGTTCAGCGTGAAGGGGAGGTTCCACTTCATGCCCCCAACTGAGGTGAAGGTGGTGGGCAGCTACCTTCTGGGCACCTGCATTAAGCCAGAGATCAATGTGGATGTGGCGGTGACCATGCCACGGGTGAGTCTGGCCATGACTGCTCCTGAGTGTCCTGGGGCGTTGCTGAGCTCCATCCCCTCTGCCCCTGCAACCCCTCCCTTGCCTTCGTGGTTCCTGACTGAGGTTACAGCATCTGGACTTGAAGTGTGATGACTCCCACAAGGACCTAGGGAGTGTGGTCTCACTGCTTGCTCTATCAGAGCTTGCAGCTGCTTTGATTTTAGTTCCTCGTGAGGATCTTCTTTCTCTCTGCCTGGGTTGAACCTCTTCCACATTGCTGGAGAGATAGCTGGTGTCTGTCTTAGCACCCCACCGCACTTCTGCCCAGCTCTCAAGACTGTTTTGTAGGGAGGGCAATGTTTGCAGGCTATTACCCCTCTAGAGCTGCCCTTCCCCTTGCTGCCCAGACTTGCTCTGACAGGGTTTGAGTTGAGGCTACAGCCTATTTGGCTGCATGGCTCTGCTCTGTCTCCTGTGATCCTAGAGCCTGGTGAGCCAGCAGCAAGGCCATGTTCCTGACCAACTCGGAGCTCCTTGGAGCTACAGCGACATGGCTGAAATAGGGCTGCCTGCGGGGCTGAGGAGAGTGGTGGGTGGTGTAGTGCCTTGGGCTGAACAAGGCTCCGCAGGCAGGTGGAGTGGGATTTCCCTGTTCCTCTCTTCCCAGGAAATCTTCCAGGACAAAGATAACCTGAATCAGCGCTACCACCGGAAGAGAGCTCTGTACCTGGCCCACATCGCCCAGCACTTCTCCAAGGAGAAGCTCTTTGGCAGTGTGAAGTTTGCCTACATGAACAGCAACCATCTCAAGCCCATCCTGCTCCTGAGGCCTCAAGGTAGCACTTGAGCCTTGCTGTGGTGGGGGGTGTGAGTGGCCACTGGTGCTAGGTGGAGGGTGGTGGTGATGGTCTCATACCATGTAACAGGCGCCCCCAGTTGTCCTCTCTGTCCACACAGAGCCTACTCTTCAAAGTCTCTTCCTCGCCGAGTCGCCCTCTGAAGCTTGGCTGGGCTCTCCAGCCTTGGCCTTGCTGGCTGGCCCGCCCTTTAAGTACTTCAGGGAGTAAAGCAGACCCTGCAAAAGCGTATCTGTGTCTAGCACTGTTCTTCCTCCCTGCTGTCCCCACCCCTGCTCCCCACCGTCCTCTTGTCTTCCCCAGATGTCTGTGTGCAGCCTGGTTCTTTTCTGGCATGACGTGAGATGCGTAGGCTGCTTCATGCTGCTTGTTTCTGCAGACCTCGGGCGATAGCGGGTTTGGGTCTGGGACAGGCAGTGGCGTGGCAAGGCTACTGCAGGCAGGAGAGTGCTGGGGTGCCAGACTGGCGAGGGGGGATGAAGGTGGGACTTGGACATGAGCACTGTGACCTCAGGGTTATTGTTGGCTCTGGGATATGTTCACCGTCTGCTTTGAGATGATTTCCATTGCTGCTGAGCTTCACTGGGAAGGAGCTTTTTCCCATCCCCAAGCTGGGGATGCTGCCTGTTTTTCCAAGTTAATCTCTGATATCTCTTCTTCCTGCACATGTACCCCCTGGGGCTTAAAGGCAAGGATGAGAAGATGGTCACCGTCAGACTCCATGCGTGTCCTGCTCTGGGTGTCTTCAAACCCAGCCGCTTCTATCCCAGCAAGAACAACGTCCGGACAGCCTGGTTCATGGAGCAGAGCATCCCCAAAGAAGGTAGGGCCTGGGCCTCGGATAACGTGAGGCTGTTAGGTTCAGCCAGAGACTGCACCCACTGCCTAGATGTGGGTTCACTGCAGCCTTTTTCTGTGAACAGGAGGTTTGTGGTTGGGTCCAACATGCTGTCATCTCCCCACACAGGAGCCACCGAACCCCCAACCCCGCACTACAACAACTCCATCCTCTGCGACACAGTGCTGCTCTCCCACCTGCACTTCTTGTCTACTGCAGCGACTGACTTCCAGGGCATGAAGGATGGCCTGGCCCTTCTCAAAGTTTGGCTGAACCAGCGGCAGCTCAGCAAGGTATGTCCTGTGACAGGGGACAGGGTAGGCTCTGGTCACCTGGTTAACCTGCCTTTGGCCTGCTCTTCCTTCCTAGGGGTGGGAAGATTCTGATTTGTTCCTTGTGGGTGGTGTGGTATGCTTGTGACTCTGATTGGAGCTGTGTTAGTTTCAAGGAGGTCCATCCTACTCTGTGGGTGTACTGGACAGTTGTGCTTCTTTGAGGTCCCTGGAGTGATGTAGTGTGGTTTTGGGTTTGGTTTTTTTTGCAGGGGAAATTAATCCTATTTCCCAAAGAACTTTGAGGTGTTGCCTCCCTTCAAGGGGATCCATACCTCTGCTTGTTGTACAGGGCTTTTCCTCAATGTGTTCCTGGCAGGCTTGGGGTTTGGGGGCTGCCTTGCTGGTGATGACAGAGGCTAGAAGCAGTTATGTGAGGTGGGCTCTGGGGCTTGTGGTACCTCGTTGAACTCTTGTTGACTCTGCCCTCTGTTTTCATAGGGCTTGGGGTGCTTCAGTGGCTTCTTGGTCTCCATGCTGGTTGCCTACCTGCTGATGAAACGCAAGATTGTCAAGGTGATGAGTGGGTACCAGGTGCTGAGAAGCACCCTGCAGTTCCTGGGTGAGTTTGCAGCGTGTCTCTGGGCAAGGAAGGGCTGGTGTCAGCAGAGGCTCTGCACAAAGGCTGAACACAGTTGGGCAAGGGGAGTTGTGGCTTTTCTCTCTCTGGTGCTGAGAGCCTTTGGGTGGGACGGACAGAAAGGGATGAGGCAGCAGAGCAGCGTTGGATGGAGCAGAGGGACTGGTTAGGCCCCATTGCAAGGTGGAGGCCAGCATTGCGTTGTAGCGCTGTTAATGTTGCAAGACCGTGGTGGATGGCGATGTGACTTGTTCCTTTCTGTCTGCCCACAGCCACCACTGACCTGAGCATGACGGGGATCAGCCTAGCAAAGGATGTGGATGCCTCCCTGGTAAGCAACACTCTGGGGGGTCCTCATGCCTGTGTCTGGCTGTGCTGCCAGCACTCCCTGGGCAGGAACATGCCTGTTATAGGGATGCTGGATGGCAGTGAGGTGGTGGTGCCCTTTGTGTCTGTGCTGTGCCGTGGCACTAAGGACCCTGTTTGCTCTTCCAGCCTGTTCTGGATGACTTCCACCAGGCATTTGAAGTGGTCTTTGTGGATCCCTCCGGGCTGGTGAACCTCTGTGCTGATATGACTGCCAGCAAATACCACCAGGTACTGCACAGGTTGCAATAGCATCCTGAGATGCTGTCTTAAGAGTGAGCTGAGGCAGGCACAGAGGATGGTTAGACGTCTTGGAGGAGGATACTGCATGTGGGGAGGGGGTCCAGTGTTGCTTTTTAAGCTTTTAGTGTCTCTGTCCAGCTCTGAAGCTTAGAAGTGACTTTTTAAGAGTTGGATGTACTGCTGCCTTACCGATCTTGCTTGAATGATGGAGGAAAGTTGTTTTCTTCTCTGTGGGCACCTCTGGGTGAAGTCCAGCAGCTGTTTTGCAGAAGTAACTGTTTTGGAGCAGAAAAAACCCACCTTGATGGCAGGGATATCAAGGAGGGGCTGCCTGGCCAGCAGTGACAGGTGTTGGTGACTTAGCTTCATGCTGAGGACAGAGGCTGTCTGGGATCAGGGTCTGCTGGTGACCATGTAGCTGTCATGGCTGTGGCTGATGGGGAGCATTGGTGACCACTGCTGGAGGGATTTGCTTTCCTTCTCCTCTCCCATTCGTGCTCTTGTTCTGTCTTGTGTCTGTGTTCAGGTCCAGTTCGAAGCCAAACGCTCCATGGAAATTTTGGATGATCGGACGGTGGACGGCTTTCAGGCACTGCTCATGACTGCAAAGCCCATGCTCAGAGCCTTTGACCATGTCTTCCAGTGAGTCTTGCTGTGCTGGTGGACTAATGCTTATGAGCCTGTTTTTAGAGGATCAGGCTGCTTCTGGCTTTGGACTGGGGTGGATTGGAGGTGGCCCTTCTAGCTCCAAGATAAACATTGGTTCCTCTTGCATTTGGCCATTCTGCTTTTGCTGTCTAGATAACCTCCCAGGAGGAGCAGGGCAATGCTCTGGCCTTTAGGAATGATGGCTGTCTCAAGGACCAGCATCTCCTGTGGTGCATCCTGAGATACCAAAGTGCAGTGTTTCTTCCTGAAGCCCCCATCCAGGGCCAGGACCCTCAGCTCCCCACTTTATCTATCCTCTAGCATCTCTCTCTCTCAGAGAGGATTTGGTGGCAGAGGTTAGTGACCAGCTTCTCTCCTTCTGTAGCCTAAAACATGTCTCCAAGCTGCAGGGTGCCTGCAAGAAGATGCAGCTGCTGAATGAACTGATGGATCAGGGTGGGAACTACGTGGCTGCTGCCCTTCCCTTCATTGTCTCGCTGCTGACCCGTGGGCTGGCCGGGAGAGCACTGCTTGTGGCCCACTCCTTGCCCCAGATCCCTGAGGTAATGTGGCTTCCCAATGACACTGCATCCTTTGCAGCACATGGGCTCTCGTGTGTCCCTGGTGCCACTGCTGGGCATGGGGAGGGGATCTTTGCTCACTGGGGAAGAAGACGGGCCTGTCCCCCTGCTTTGTGGGGGATACGGAACTTGAGGCCCTGCACTGGGGTTTGCGGTGCAGCTGGGAGGCTTGATCTAGGCAGACGTCCTGGCCCAGTCATGGGGCAGGGTGAAGACAACTGTTTTTGTCATAAGGGAGACCTGTTAAATGAAGTTTTCCTGGTCTGTACTTGTCTGGGCACCCAAGAGCACGTAAGCAGGAAGTTCATCTAGCAGCTTAATATCCCAGCAGCCGCTTCTCCAGCAACCTCGTCTCCTTGTGCTTCATGTTCCCCATTTTCCCACAGTGGCCTATTGATGCTGAGCCCCCGAAACACAAGGATATTGGGCCCCTGACATTTGGGCTCCTCTTTGTCCCTGACTTTGCTGCCAGCACACTGGAGAAGGGACCACAGGCTGATCACCCTGAGGTGAGGGGAGCTCTGCTTGTGCTGAGTAGGGTGGAGCAGAGCTGGTGCCATGCTGTGGTTGCAGACGGCTGCAGGGATGGCTGATGGACATGGGAAGGGTTCAGCCAGCCCCAGCAGTGACCTATGTCCCTGGCCTGGCTTGGCCAATGTACCGCTGCAGGCCCTGGACTTCCGGACCTTCTGGGGAGAGAAGTCGGAGCTGCGGCGGTTCCAGGATGGCAGCATCTGTGAGGCGGTGGTGTGGGAGGCCAACACCACCTGCCGGAAACGCCTCATTCCTGAGCAGATTGTCAGGCACCTGCTGAAGCTGTAAGTTGTGCCAAGCAGCAGCCGAGGCTAGGGGACCTATAGCTGTGTAGGGCTCTCCTGGCTTGTGCCACATCCCTGGTAACATTGACAGCTTCACGCTTTGGGGGATGTTGTATGTTGTTTTGGCTTTGTGAAATCTGGAAGTCATTTCAGTTATGGTCCTGATGCTGCAAGCTGCTTCCCAAGAGAAGCTGAGGAGAGCAAGCACATGGTCCTGTAGCTTCTGCTGATAGTAGTGGCAAGGAGGCAGCATGGTCCTGCCCTTACATGCGCAGATGGGATGTTGGGACGCTCATTGCTGGCAGAGATGGAAGAGAAGCTGTCTATACCTTGCAGGATGTTTCACAAAATCCTCTGAGACCCTGTGGTGGCTCACAAGGTTGGGTCTCCCTACAGCACTGGAAAGCCTCCCCGTAGCAGTTTATATCCTGCTAGAAATGAGACCTTCACACAGAATGAAGGGGTTGCCTGGGCCTCTTTATCGTGACTCAAGGAGCAGTCTTGTGAGGAAAGGCTGCATGTTGTTGGTTTTGGCTTTGAATCCTGTGAAACTGCATGAGTTGCTGCACTGCTTTGGGTGGATAACTTGGGCATGGGAGGAATGCACAGGATTGATCTTCTCGCCATTACCTTCCTGTATGGAGGAATTCCTCATCCTGGGACTGACCCTTGCCTGTGGGCACAGCATGCAGCGTCAGGGTGGACGGGTTGGCGTGTTGTAGCTCTAACACTCTGTTGTCTTTTTCCACGCAGCCACGCAGACATTCCTGAATCCTCCATCTGCTACACGGGAGCCCTGCTGGAGTCTGTGATCAGGACTGGGCAAGAGGTATAGTTGCTCCACCAGTGGGGCAGTGGGTTTCTTGAGGAAGGACGATATGGGGAGGGCTGTAAGGAGGTCATTTTAGCTTTGTGGCCCAGAGGCAGCTGGGTGGTTCCCAAGAGCAGGAAGCGGAGGTAAGGAAAATTTGTGCCTGCAGGCACTTCAGTGGGCAGTGCACTGCTCTCCTTGTATCTGCCAAGCCTTTTGTGCCAACCAAGGCATAGCTGCTGAAGTCCTCTTGCTCCGGCAGCTCCTACATCATGTTTTTCCCCGCAAGCATCCCACTGGCCTTCTGTCTCTGCTTGTGTCCGCTATGTCCACATCATCTGAGGATGTATCACTGTCCCAGTGTGCTCCTCCGGCTGCAGCTTTCAGGTCCTGCATCCTTCTGATGTGGACCAGGCACTTCTGTGCCTTCATCCTGTAGGTCCAGCTGGGAAACCTGGGAGAAGGACCTTTGCTGTCATGGTGCAAGGTGCTAGATCATGCCCACCAAGCCCTGCTTAGTGCTCCAGCTGAATGTGCAGCTGAAACAAAGAAATGTTTCTTTGGGACAGAAAAGATGCATCTTGGAGGCTGAGAAATGTCCTTCTCTCTACTTCTGCTCTCCAACTTGTGAAAGTAAAGCCTGGAGATAAGCCATGTGTGTTCTGGCACCACTTTGCTGGTCTTTGGTAAAACCAGCTTTTTACCTGGTTGTTGGATGGAGGGGGAAGTTGTTTCCTTTCCCCTTTTTAAGAGAAAAGGGGAGCAAATCTGATCAAAAGAATCTTTTGTGGTAGGACCACTTGTGGTCTGCGCAGAGCTGCACGTCAGTTTTGGGATGGGGTACTAGTTTGTACAGCCTGCTGTGTGTGAGGCAGCGAAATCTGTGGGCGCCATGTCCCTGCAAGCTAGCCTGGGGTAAGCAGGGCTGATAAGCCCCACGCTGAGAGGAAATGCGCCTTCCTGGAGCCTTAGGAACCTTTAGGAGTCCAATTGTTGCCAGTCCCTGAGGAACAAAGGAGAAACTTGCTGTTGTGTGTGGAGTGATGGGTAGGGGTGTCTGCTCCTCCAGCTGTTTGCATGTAGGCAGCCCTGGGAGTCTGTGGCAATTGAGGGACATGGGGAACAATGGAAGATGGACAGGTGTTTGTCGTTGGCGATGCACCCTGCAGAGGGTGCTGCAGCTCTGCTGTGAAGCCCAGGCTGGCCAGATGCGCGCAGCAAAATTCATCTGTGTTTGAGCTGGGCGGTTTAGTGTCGGTGATGTCTCCTCTGCATTCGGTCTCCTCTGCTGTGCTTTGGGGAGATGAAAGCAGCAAGGGCAACAGCAATTCTGTTGGTGCTTCTCATCTGCCCTCCCCAGGGCTCCTGTGAGACTCTGGATATTTTCTATCTTTGCTTTTGCCATGCTTCACAGCTCTGCCTTGGCTAAGGATGTAGTTGGTGCAGTTTTCTGTTACCTGCCGCTTCTGTTGTCATCATGGTAACTGGCAGGGAGGCAGTAGCAGAGCTCTCACCTTGCCATATGTGATCTCTTTACTCCCAAATCACTCTTAGCTTCTCCCTTCCTAAGCAGAACACTGGCAGTACTGTTTTTGGTGGTGCTGTAGTGTCTTGCACAGGAAATAATCTCACTTGCCGCTTGTAACACAGACTTTAGGATACCTGTGACTCCTGGGGAGCTGCATGCAGTCTTGCCCTTGTCTTCCCTCTCTCTCTCTTACCTCCCCTTTTTTGCTGAGTGCTCTTGCCAAAAGCTGCTTCCAGGGGTGGAAGTGCTGCCTCCTCAGAGCTTGGCCGCAATGCCAGTCCAAGAGAGGGGGCTGAGGAGGGCACCTGTGCAGGAGTGGGAGAGCTGAGCAGAGAGGCTCCCTTTGTGTCCGCAGGTGTTGGGGACGGGTGAGGAGGCCATGGTCAACGTTGTCTGCTCTTATGACGACCTGAGCCGCAAGCTTTGGAACCTGAAGGGGCTGCCACTGACAGTGACAGCTGTGCAAGGTGTCCATCCAGCACTCCGGTACACAGACGTGAGTGTCCTTGGGCATGGTCCAGACATGAGGGTCTGCAAGAGGCTGTGGGAATGCTCTGCGGTGAGGGAGGATGGAGAGAATTAGTCACTCTGCTTTTGTGGCTCCTGAGAGCCCTTGGGGTGATGCAGTGCCTTTTCTTTGCTGTCTGTGCCAGAGAGCTCTGCTAGGTGGGAGGTTTGGGGTGAGGAGGTGCATGGTGCCCTGGAGTTTCTGTTCCCTGTTCTTAGTCCCTGAGTGGCTGTTCTCTCCCAGGTCTTTCCTCCCATTCCTATGAAGCCGATTTATTCCTTCCATACCCTAATCAAGACCAAGCGCTTACTGCTTCCCTCGGAGGAGAAGTCCTGCCCAGCCTACATAGCCCCTTTGAAGAGTAAGTGGGGAGAGATGTGAGCAGGAGGTAATTTGGTGGGAGGAAGCAGAGGCAGACAGTGATGCTGTCTCTGTTACTGCTGTGTTGCTGTGCTGCAGGCAGGAGCAGAGCCCCCGCTCCTCCTGCTCTCCTGCTGTAACCTCTAGTTCCAGCCACCCCCATCCAACATCTCACTTCTGCATGGACCTCACTGACTTCCTGCTGTCCCTTTGCCCCTAGTCATCTGCCACATGGAAGGCAGTGGCCAGTGGCCACAGGACAAAGAAGCCATCAAGCGCATCAAGGCAGCTTTCCACCTCCAGCTGGCTGAGCTCCTCCAGCAGCAGCACCAGCTGGTTTGCAGACCTGCGGTCACCCACACCGATGTGTACAAGGTAGGGTGGTGATGGGGACCTTCTCCAGACGTGACTTGTTACTGAGGAGGCAGGTGGGAGCTTGTGGGTGTGATCCCACTGGACAAAACCACAGTTTGGATGGTGAGCCTAGGAAAGAGCATAATGAGACTGGGCTGATGCCAGGATGCTGCTGTTGTGTCCCTGAGGCGCAGCGTAGCACGCCAGCCTGCTTATGTTACCACCAAGCCTGACTTCGCCTTCTGCTTCTGTCTCAGGATGGCTACGTTTTCCGTCTCCAAGTAGCCTACCACCGGGAGCCCCTGATCTTGAAGGAAGTGGTCACCCCTGAAGGGATGGTGAAGTACGAGGACACAGAGGAGTCTCAGCAGCTGGAGCTGGAGACGTTGCATCTGCCCTATCTAACCAGCTCCCTGCATGGGTAGGTGTGACTGGGGATGCCTGGGGGTCCAGGACATGGGATGCGGTTGGAAGCCAGCATGGAGGTGCACTTGGATGATGGAGAGGGTGATGGTAGCAAGAGGAGCTCACTGTGGGAAGTGGCCCTTCAGTCCACCTTGTGAGAGGCTCTGCGGGAGGATGTGGGGGATGAATGTGGGTGAGGGTGGCACCAGTTGTCCCTGTTGTTACATCTAAGGTCAGTGGTATGGGGAGACAAATTACAAGGATCACCATGGTTAGAAGAACATGTGGCAGCGTTTCCCCTTTGTTCCCCCAAAATTTCAACACCCACAGAGAGTGCCTCGCATTCATGATGCTGCAAACATGTTCCTGGCAGATTTTTTGCCGCTCTTCTCTCTTGCCAAATGATAGAAGGCCATTGTGGGTCCTGGGATGTGTGGGTTGAGCAGTGCCTTGTCTCTCTCCTTGCAGGCTCCAGCAGCAGCACCCTGTCTTTGGCAGCACTTGCCGGCTGGCCAAGCGCTGGGTCAGTGCCCAGCTCCTGAGTGACAGCATTTCTGAGGAGTGTATGGACCTCCTTGTGGCATTTCTCTTCCTCCACCCAGCCCCCTTCACACCGCCCAGGTGAGGATGAGAAGCTCAGTCTGGCCCAATGGGAACTTAGTGCTGTTTTTTTCCTTACCTGGGATGGAGGAAGAATGGGATGCTGCTAGGGTCTGAGGTGCTGGGAGGGTGCATGGCAGGCAGCGTGAGGTCCCTATGCTGTCAAAATGCTGTCCCAAGCCCTTGAGCAGCTGACCAGAGGATGCAGATGCTTGGTGCTGTGGGGCTGTGGCTTT